CAGGGATTGTATGGCGGATTGTAAGGTGTATGGTGACTTTACAGATAGCAAACTCAGGTACTTACCTCACAGGTGACCCCTCTGTACTGCACTCCCCCCAAGTTTCCCTGTGTGCAGAGCGGAGCAGCCATTTGTCCTGCCGCTGACTAGAACTCCCGCCGCCTCCTTCCATCGCCGCGTCACTTCCTCCGATCACAGAGCCGCTCTTCCCTCACTGCAGCATGACCGCTTCTGTGGCCGGGTGTTCGATCGAAAGTTCCAACTTATCGGAACACCGGCTGCCTGCTCTTCACTGCTGGGCTCACCCCTCCCATCTTCTATGTCCAACCCCCTCTCCTCAATCATTCCAATTAGAGAGGTGCTTCACACACCTGAAGTCCATGCACCCTGCTGCTTTTGATCCATGGGTTCACCTTGGGTGGGGGAACATCCACAAACTCCCTGTGCCCTAGCCCTTTGTCACCCTCTGGTGCCAGCTCTTGCTTGCCCGCCTCCAAGTCTGGTGCCACCTGCTGGCTGTTGCTGCTGCTGCCAAGCCCACAGGCGTTATAGTAGAAACCACAAGTACTGCACACAGCTGCCCATAAAAAATCAATGGCTGTATGTGGCTGTACAGCAGGTATATATATATATATAAACGACGCATGCGTATGAACATATACCCTGAATGAAGACTGTCTGCGTTTGATATGTTCATGCACGAGTTTAAATAAGTACTGGCATATACCACCAATACAGCCGTTTACATCCATGCTGTTATGATCTACAGTTGAATATGAATCCCATGAGAAATATAAGAAATGTGTTTTGCCTGCTTACTCATGTATTCTTTATAAATGGTACATATATCACCAATTCTCCAAGGGTATGCAAACGTTTGAGCACAACTGTAAATAGTTCTGACACATTTACAACATGCTTGTTGTGGGTTTGTGACTAAAAGTACTGAAGACAGACTTCTAGCATTTTCAGAAGACCAGCAATGTCGGCTTCAATACTTTTCTCATGACCCAGTGACTCTAAAGCAAAGGCGTGGGATGCATGGAATTTCAGATTAACATACTTAAAGTAAACTCAAAACCTTTTTTTCAGTCTGTATACAATGTACATAAGGAAATATTTTTTGTTGTTTGTGAATCTGCCGCAAAGTTTCTTACTGGGTGATTCTGATCATAACAGTACTTCCTGTTTCAGGAAGTGAATGGCACCGTAGCCACGCCATCTGGCCGCAATGTGATCGCAAGGCGCACTGTGCCCTCGGTCCGGTGCGATCAAAATAGTGCATCGCATTGCGGCCGGAGGGAGTGGCTATGGTGCCATTCACTTCAATGGCCCGCCACGCCCCCTCCTGCCCAACAAAAAAGATGCGATGCCGTGCGTTCAGGCCAGGATCGGAACGGAACGCACTGCATATGGTGTGAACATACAGAGAAAGTATTCTCTAAGCTTTCTCTCTGTGTCTATGCCTGCTTGTTGATCTGTCTTCCTCTCTCTGGGCTCTGTGTGTGTTGCTTTGGGCATGGTTGATGTCTGTGTCTGGTCTTTGTGTCTATATAGGTTTTATTTCCATGTCTATCTGTATGTCTGTCTGACTATTTCTTTCTTGTCCGATAAGCTGGAGCACATACTTCCCTCCCTTCTCCAAGCCTGCCGAGCAGAAGAAGGAATCCCCCACCGTCCTGCCTGTCAGAGGAAGCCAATCCACTCTGAAAGAATTTATAATCAAATAATATTTGCTAATATTTGCACATCTGGAGCAGATTTGCACTGCAACCAATCAGCTTCTATCTCTCATTTTCAAATCTCAACTGAGCAAACTGAAGAGAGATGCTGATTGGTTGCCATGGGCAACTGCTCCAGTTTCTGTCTGCTCAAGTTTTGATAAATTCCGCCCTCTCTCCTGCCTCTGATGCTCTCTCTCTCCTGCCTCCGACACTCTCTCTCTCTCCTGCCTCCGACGCACTCTCTCCTGCCTCCGACGCTCTCTCTCCTGCCTCTGACGCTCTCTCTCTCCTGCCTCTGACACTCTCCCTCTCCTGCCTCTGACGCACCCTCTCCTGCCTCCGACGCTCTCTCTCCTGCCTCCGACGATCTCTCTCTCCTGCCTCAGACGCTCTCTCTCCTGCCTCAGACGCTCTCTCTCCTGCCTCAGACGCTCTCTCTCCTGCCTCTGATGCTCTCTCTCCCCTGCCTCCGACACTCTCTCTCTCCTGCCTCTGACGCTCTCTCTCTCTCTTGCCTCCGACACTCCTGCCTCTGACGCACGCTCTCTCTCTCTTCTGCCTCCGACGCACTCTCTTGCCTCTGGCGTACCCTCTCTCTCCTGTGTGTGTCTCTCTCGCCTTTCTCTCTCTCCGGCCTCTTTAAAAAAAATATTATTTCGATATTGATATTTCAGTATTTATGTTTGTATTTGACACTCTGTCAGTGTTTGTTGAATATGAATGTCTTTTAATAAAAATCTTTCACAATGTTTTGAGTTGGCATTTCATTGGGGAAGGGTGGGTTGCATTTTCTCTCAGGCCCCATTCACACCAAGGCTTTTGTTGAGCTTATTTTTCCACACTGGTAGAAACTCCATTCATTTCTAAAGCCCCTGTGCACATCTAAACGTAGTGTTGCACGTAGAAAAACGCATGTTACCAGAGTGCAGGAGGCTTTTTCTGGGCAGATCATCGCGATTTGTCCTTATAGACTCAACAGGAAACGCACAGCAAAATTATTTTGCGCGTTTCCCCATTAACATCCCGTTTCGCCACAGAAGCTCGTGCACGAGAAGCAAAGCATTGTGGGAGAAGTCGTTTCCACGCCTACATTGTAGCTCTAACTGAGCACAACATCCTGTAATCCATACAGAGCACAAGGCGGCCATTTTCAAAAGAGGGAACTGAGAAAACAACTGAAAAAAGTAAGTTTTTGTCCTTCTATCCAGTATCTGCATATGCCGGCATCATCTACACTCTTTGTGGTATATGGTTTTTTTTTTTTAAATGCCCCCGCAAAGGTGGAAATGTCCTTTAAACTCTCTGGCAAAGAATAACTGTTTTATGGCTGAGGGCTATAGTGCACACTGGTGACATAACTGATTGCATTAAGTAGTCTTTGCAGATAAACCTGATAGTGTGTATGGTATATTCACTTCCAGGAGTTACAGAGTATCCCTGAGGTCATTCACAGCAAACCTTTCAGCCCGTTTTGGCGCTCTGAAAAACGCCCTATGTGCGAAAAAGTACTTGAGCTTCTTTTCCGCTTGTAGGGGCAGATTTCAGCACGAATCCATTGGTATTCCCGAGTGTGGCTGGGGGTTAATTTTCTGTACCAAAGACGTAACCCCGAGCCACGTACTGGAATACAGCGTAGGTCTTACCTTGTCCGCGATCCCCGGTGTGTCCTCTGGCCGCTGCCGGCATCCGTCCCTTGCGAGCGCCCGCGGCGCAGGGGGGCGGAACCGGCGGGAAGGTTAAAACATTTTTAAAAATACGAAAAACAGGTAGAGAAAAAAAATCATAGCGCCAGGGAGGTTAAAAAACACGCATCGAATCCACTTAATGTGCAGATCTATGGACCCTGGGACACAAAATCACCTTACAGTGGTACTTTACACCTCTTAAACTTAGCAGAATGTATCCGTCCATCACGGCGGACTGCTGGAGGCAATGCGGCCAACTAGGGAGTTTGTATCATATATTGTGGGATTGTAGATGTTTGAGGAGTTTCTGGCACCAAGTCTTCTAGAGGATCTGACAAACCACAGGCATTATTATAACGCCTTGGCCCGAATTAGCGGTACTGTCACTGGGTATTGAAAACATCCCACCACAATATAGGATTCTGGTGTCCCACATTCTACCAGCGGCAAGGCTGACCATAGTGCGCCATTGGAAAAGCTTAGTTGCTCCTAATATATCCGAGACTGTAGCTATAGTGAATCTACATTACCAACCAAGGGGGTTATGTCATATCAGGATGGCTCCACAAAGCGCTTTTACACTGCCTGGTCATATTGGAATCCGTAAACGGAATTTCAAACCTAATCCACTAAATATATGTATTGTATATTACAAAACCTTACCCTTTCCTTACCCTTCTTTATCGCTCCGTGGACAGCCGCTCCCACGGTCTTACAGACTCACCGTAAAACAATGCCACCCGCCGTCTGCACACGCCGTCCACTCCATCGCATCCAGGTCAGTAACCCTCGCGCTGAATCTGCCGCTCCAGGCAAACGCCTTGTTTGCCTCGCGGCAGATACGCCCCTGCTTATCGTTCCCTGATGTATTTTCTTTGTTCTCTTTCCCCCTCAAGCTATATCCTGCTGTGATAATGCTGGAGATGTATAAGTGACATAGTAGACCATGAGCACAAAGATTGTCTGTACCTCACACAACTTGTTACTGCAGATTGTAAGATCGAACGCGCATTTCATTGGGCAAAAAAACGTGCTTCAAACGCAAGGGCAAAAATGCGCATAAAACTCGCCCATCAGGAACGCCCAGGTGTGAACCCAGCCTTAGGGCTTGTTCACACCAAGCGTGTTCCAGGAGCAGAGCAGAACAGTTACAATATATTCCAATGGTATTTTTGGCTCTAGTTCACACCACAGAGTTCAGTTCCAGAGCATGTAAAAAAACTGCAGAAAGCCCCATCTTACCTGCTCTGGAACGCATGCAAATGCATCAAAAATGCATGCAAACACCCTGGAACACGCGGAAAGCCCATTTTAAACTAAGAAAATAAAACTTTTTTTTCTTTAATACCCAAAATGGCCCGGAATGCATCAAAAACGCGGCATAATACACTGCGTGTGCAGAAACACATGCTGATCTGGTCTGCATTTGGTGTGAACAAGCCCTTATAATCTAAGGAGGTAAAACCAAAATAATGAAAATAATTTACATTTACAAACCATAGTTTAAATTATAAGCAAAATATATTTGTGAATAAATAAATAATAGTATCCATACATGTGTCTAAAACCAAATCTTAGATCCAATTGGATCTTCTTCTACATTGTCAATAGAAATCAGCACTTTGCAGGAGGGATGCAAACAATCCCTTCAAGTTCTCCAGTCATTACGTCAAACTTTTCTCTGCTTTTATCCTGGAGATTTTGAAATTCTGCCTCTAATTTAGTAGCAGCTGTCTGGAGCATTGTAATCAAGTTCGTGGCGCGAACGTTTTTCATATTAAAGTCTTCATGTATTTCATCTTTAAACTTGCTCTCTTTAAAGACAAGTTTTAATAAGCCATTTGCATTGCTGACTTCTTCATGCTGATGTTTAAGATGCTCGGTTTTCTTTCCGACTTCTTGTTTTATTTGCTTGATTAATAAAGAACTTTCCTTTCCCTTGACATATCTTTCCAATTCTTTTATCTGTAAATGACAAAACAAAGAATATACAACCTGAAAGTGAAATGACCAGTAAACCTAAATAACCAGTTACCTGTATAGATTTAAGTAGATAAAAGTAATTCACCGGCACACACTTGAAGGGTTTTAAAGTATTGATATGTTTGTACAATACCCAATGTCACATACTGTCATACGGTGCTAGCACCCTTCAAGTGTGTGCAGGTGAATTACTTTTATCTACCATTAGTGTTTTGCACGGCACCATCCGCGTGGTCACCTGGGCACCACATATACCTCGTGGTTTTGAGACCGTAGCAGTGCGAATGGGATTTGGACTTTGTTGTATAGATTTAAGAAGATATATTTAATATTTGTTATTGTTAATATTAATATTTAAGCAGTATTCCATATGTGACTGAAATGCCAAAATCTGTACTGTTAATTAACATTTCACATATATTAATCACTATAAAGCCATGAGTGCTCTATCCTAGAGCAGTGATGGCGAACGTTTTTGAGCCTGAGTGCCCAAACTGCAAGGCATAATCAATGTATTTATCTCAAAGTGTTAACACTGAAAATTAGTTTGGTATTGTGTTTTAGTTTGGGCACTAGGGTGAAAAAAAACACAAACATTCAGCATCATTGTCTTAGGCAAAATAGGGAAACACACATATTCAAACATTTAATTTTTTTTCTTTCTTTATTATTTTTTACAAATTTTTTAACTTTAAATATTTCTTATAATCGTTTAGTTCCTTTTTTGCTTGACCCTTTTTTCTTTTCTTAATTTTAATTATTATTTTTTTAATTTTTATCTTTTTTTCAATTAACTTAATTGCTATTACACAGGGGCTAACAAGCCTGTGTGTGATAGCATTTGACAGGTTCTCTTTATTGAACCTGTCACCCTCAATACAGGAGTTTTAGCAAAGCACTTTGCTGGCTCTCCTGTGACAGCGGAGACGAAAAGGCTGCGAGTACAGCGTTCCTGTCTCACTTTTCACATGGAAGTTCTCCGCTCTGCTCCCCGCTCTGCTCCCCGCTCTGAACTAATCCACTTTGCTCACGGGTCCCCCCAGAAGACCGGGGGACCCCAAAAACCAAGGCGAGGGAGGCAGCCAGCGGGAAGAGAGGGAGCCAGCAGTGGGGGCGAACCATGGAGGGGGGTGGCACAGACCTGCAGGCTTATTACAAGTGATCTTGGTGGCATCGCCGTGATTACTTGTACTAAACAAGCGTCGGCTCCCCCATTGTACATTTAGCCCTGCTTGCCGAAGCAGGGCTTAGGGTACGTTCACACTATATGCAGTGCGTTCCGGCCCGAATGCACTGCAATGCATTGTGGCCGGCTCACTATTTCGTGGGGCTGGAGGGGGCATGGCAGGCCATTGAAGTGAATGGCACCGTAGCCACGCCCTCCGGCCGCAATGCGGACACCCGCACTGGATCGCGGTTCACATTGTGCCTGTAGTCTGGTCCAGTGCAGTCAATAGAGCTTGCAGTATTTTGACTGCACCAGACCGCAGGCACGATGTCCCCTGCGATCCCTTGCGGGCGATCACATTGCAGCTGGAGCTACTGCTCCATTCAATGAAATGTCCCGCAACGCCCCTCATGCCCGGCAAAAAATTGAGCCGGCCACAATGCGATGAAGTGCGTTCCGGCCAGAATCGGGCTGGAACGCACTGCATATGGTCTGAACGAGGCCTAAATGTAGATGAAAACGAACTGCCCAGCATCCGGAACTGCTTGTCCCAGGCAATACGATTTCGACACCCCTGCCTAGGCTCGCGTGCCACCAGAGGGGTTTGTTATCGCTATCCTAGGGTATACCTGGGTCCTTCTGGGAAACCAAAAATGTACACAAGACCCACACATTGGGGTGTCCCTGAAGAAACAATTGTCTGCACAACTAAGATCTATGAAGAAATAGGAAAACACACACACACACACACGTGTGTGTGTTTGTATATTCCAAAGTGACGAACAATAAATTTTATTGTTGGACAAATTGTATTGTATTTAATAAAAAGGTCAGATTTTACATTTTCCAGTGATATCCAAAAAGTGGGAACTTTTTACGGATTTTCCCAAAATAAAGAAAAAAATGCTTTTTGGCATTAAAAAAAATTCAAGTCTGTGGTAACAAAAATCTATTATTCGTTTAACTGTTTTTTTAAAACTGTCCTCACAAGCAAGGTGGAGTAGATTCCCAATCCCATGTACTACATTGAGATTTAGAAGGCCGTCAGTGCTGTAATAAAATGTTGCCGTGAGAACCATGCCCATAGGCAAACATGGGTTTTCACCTGTTGCGCGTTTTACCAAGCGTAGGAACGCGCGGTAAAACGCTCAGGTGTGAACGGGGCCTTATAGTTACAACATGCAGACAATAAATGTAATGAATGCCCACTGGCGTCCTGCATATTTTAACAACTGCCCACATATTGCCACAACTAAAAGTTCCTTGCCCGCGTATTTTGCCTAGAAATTGTCTAGTCAGTGCAGTCTGTTTAGAGAGCATATTACTATAATTGAATCCCCTGAAGGCCCGTCACTATAAAACCATGACCTCATTGTCCTTTCCTCCAATTCACTGGAGTGCATTAAGTGCGCTGCTTTTATCCCTACAGCCATTATTAGCCATCCTGCCCCCACAGTCTCAGGCTCATAGTATTTTCCTAGGCATGCTCATTTGTTGTCCCAGTGTCACAGGGATAAGGAGTGAGGGGCGAATCTCCTCAACCTCCAGATTGCTGAAAAGCATACACATGAATAATAACGGAACTAGGGATGTTCAGGTACCAGTGCTGATACTTGGCATTTTCACGAGAACAACCAGGGTTGCAGCCGGGACCTGGCTCTGGCGCTCCACCACTGTCCTGAAATCATTAGTCTGTATTGTTTTAGAAAAACTATTACATGACAACAAAAATGTATCAATACTTGTATCTGTGAGTACTTGGACAAGTATCAGTACAAGAAAAAATGGCATTGGTGCATTCCTAATTTTTATTTATAAAAAAAACAAATCATACATTAAAACAGAGATGTACAAATCCCAGGAGCTCCGTGTGCTCCTTACAAATGACAGCTGCCTCCTAACTTTTGAATGTTTCTCTAGTCTAGTCTTGGAGGTGGAAAGGTATCTGTACTTGTACCAAGTACTGTACTTGGTATCTGAACATCCCTAAACAGAACCACTGAAAGAGGACCTAGCCTAGTAAAGACTGTGAAACTGATTATTTTGGAATGAGCAAGGTCGTAGTTTTATTGGGTCAGTAAACCTCATACTTATTCTATCATATTAGTAAACATCACATTTGGAGGAAAATCCTGTGCCAGTCACAGATTACCTTTAAGCACTGAACTGCGCATGTAGCGAAGGCTACATTCACACTGGAATTAAGATTGCGGCTAGGGAATCCTGCGGCAAGAACCCCCAGGTGTGTCTGTACAGATGCAGCCTCCTTGGCAATTCAAGTAAATCCTCAAATAAGGTCTCAAGTAAAGCATGTGTTTAGGGTGCAAGGGCCTCTACAGGGACAATATAAGAACATATATGACCTTTTGGGTACTGCACTTTTGTACCATCGTTACTTTAAAAACATTTTTGAGCCGGATCAGGATCACTTGAAATATGATTCTATTATTAAAAACTACCACTACAATACCCATCAAAGACATACCTGATCATGCCATGAATGCTTCCGTTGTTTAACTAGATCGTGGAACTGATCATGCACATCAGAGAATGACTTATGCAATGCCTTTATATTAACAAGATTGCTCTGAGGCTTAACCTCCCTTGGAAAGGATGTGTATAATTTGATCTCATTTTGAGCTAAGGTAATGCACTCATCTTCTGCAGCAGACTGAAAGACTGTTTCCTGTTGAGGATGTATAAAAAATTGACAGAGTTTACAAACATACAACCTACTTTGATTAATGCAAAATACTAAATTCCAATTATTCATGTACCTACTAATAAAACAATAGAATGTTCTTTATTTGTGCGTAGTAAAATATTATTTAATCTTTTAAAAATATACAGAGTAAAACCGTTGTAAACCTCATGAAGCACTACATCCAGTTCTAGGCCAGAAGGTAACTTCAATGAGTCTGCAAAGATATGATTCCATTGACCAGAAGAGAAGATTCTCAAGAAAATCCTGGGTACCCTGTCAGTCAGTATAGGTTGTGCTGTGACCTCAATTTTTTTCACTGCACTTAAGCTATATGACTTGGCCACTAGCAAACTCAATCATGTTCCTAGAACATTAAAAGAGCAGCAGCCCCCTGACAAGGCCATCCCTAAACTCACGCTCCTGTAAGCCTGTTCAGGCAAAGAAACTAAAGGGTTTGATACAGAGTGGAACTGGATTTGAGATACTTGTTAGGTCCTGGTCATGTAGAGAACTGTAAGTTTAGTAGAGTTGGCACAGGGACTGTGCAAAGCATTAGTATCCTGATTGGCTTGTACTGCTCTCCTAGAATATAAGCTACTCTGCAAAAGATAAACTCCAATTCTGGTACCTGTGTGTAGAAATCCAATTAATTACATGTTATTGACTGGATTAAATAGTGTTCCAGCCTGGAGTTCAGCTCAACTGCATTCAAAACTATTTTTTACATTTTGGATAGCATGGTGGAAGGGTGAGAACATACTGTATATCAAGCCTTTATTGTCATCCCGGTCAACATTTTTTTCCCCCCAGTAATTTCTTTTCTAGTGACACCCTGTTAGTTGGGATGTCAGGGGGCAAAAAGTGGAAGCAGAACTCCAGGCAAAGTTTTTTTATTATTAAATGTGCTGTGTAACAAATAGATTATATCTCACCTTCAGGATCACTACCTTTATTATTTACAGTTTCATTGAGGCACATAGTATAGCACTTGCTATTCTTCCGGGCCACTGTAGCTACAAGAGCTGCAGCTCACACACACAGAAGTCATACTGTTGTTTATTTGCCCACCTCTCCCCTTCTCAATTCACAGAACACCTTGTATTTTGAGAAATACGCACAGTAAATGGACAAGGAAAGAGGACGGATTAAACTACAATACTTCTGTGTATCAGAACTAGAAATGTGCCATTCGTTTTGTTTCGTACTGAAATTCGGATAAATATCTGCAATTTGGACAGAACTGAGCACAGGTATGTATGCAGAAGACAGAAAACCACAGGAACTAAGAGCTCCTGAAGGGTAATTAGAATTTCTAGGTACAAAGGTACAACTTGAGGCAACTTCATGATAGAAGGAGAGGCAGGTAATGTGATTGTGCTGTCTTCTAAGCTTTAATTTATTAATTTTTTTATTATTAAAACATACCCTCCATTTATTTTTTTTGGTACTTCAAAAACAGCAGAGCGCCAAGCACATTTATAAAGCACATCACTGTAAACATAAGGCCATACCCTACCCTGATAAGTCAATCACTAAAACTTTCTCCCTTTATCTACAACAGCTAAAAATGTTTGGTAGAACTTGGGTCCCAAAATTAAAGGAGAACTATGGGGTCGGTGGTTTTCCCCATAGTTCTTCTAAGGGTAACGGGAGGACACAAACTAGCGTCCTCCCGTCACCCAAAGCTCAGTATACCGCAAACTACAGCTCGCGGTATACTGAAACGCCGCAGCCAGGGAAGGATCCCGAGATTACTGTCGAGATCCACCCACCTGCGTGAGTGAAAGCTGGCTCTGTCTATCTAGAGGCAGAGCCAGCTGCACTCGCCCCCTCCCCCAACCGTTCCGCCAGTCAGTGCTGGAGGATCGGACACGGGAAGGGGGGGAATCCCTGTAGGGAGCCGTGAGTGACAGTCACTGCTCTCTGCAGGGAGATGATCGAGAAGTGAGCGAGCGACGGTATGTGTTCGCTCACTTCCAGATCTATTGAGCCGACCTGTGACAGTTTCATTGCGACAGGTCGGCTAGAACTATGAGGCTGAGTGATTTTCACTCGCCTCATAGTCCTCTTTTAAAGGAGAACTACGGGGTCAGTGTTTTTCCCCATAGTTCTCCTTAGGGTAACGGAAGGACACAAACTAGCGTCCTCCCGTTACCCTTAGCTCAGTATACCGCGAGCTACAGCTCGCGGTATACTGAGACGCCGGAGCGGATCCCGCCGTAGATGACGGGATCCGCCCAGCTGCGTGAGTGACAGCTGGCTCTGCCTATCTAGAGGCAGAGCCAGCTGTACACGCCCCCTCCCCCGTCCGTTCCGCCAGTCAGTGCTGGCAGATCGGAGCAGGGAGAGGGGAATCCAACCCCTCCCCCTGTCACGGCAGAGAGCCGTGACAGGATCGAGAGGCGAGCGAACCCGGTATGTGTTCGCTCACCTCCCGATCTACTGAGCCGACCTGTGACAGTCTCATTGTCACAGGTCGGCTAGAACTATGAGGTGAGTGAAAAGCACTCGCCTCATAGTTCTCCTTTAAATGTAAAGTAGTTCATATACAAATCAAAATCGTTACCATCCATTGCCAGTACACTGCTTCTAGATGTCTCCATTCCAAGTACGCTTCTAGGTAAGAGTTCTCGGATTCCAAATACTGCAGTAACTATAGTTAAAAAAAATATTGTAATATTAAGGTTAAAGCCTTAAACTAAATTACATAAAACACATTATGTAACACATCTAGCAATTTATAAAACTGGAGGTATCCATATTCTAGTTACTTTACTCTCATTCAGTATTAAGAATGGCAGTTGTTTCTTTTTCAAAAGGTCGATTTTTTGCATGAATGAGGCTGAAACACATATACATTATGTATTGTTACACATCCTGAACTATAATAGGCTCTGTGTAATCTAGCAGACTGCGGCCGGTGGACGGTGATGTGACCAGAGGTAGCCGCGATATGTAGCGGGGGCGGAATTATCCTGGGTGTGGCCCTTGGCCTCTTGACAAGCCTGATGAAAACATTTGTTTATGAGTACATATACTCTTTTTTATTAATTTAAATAAAAGATTTTACACACGGAGGTGGCGCTCTGTTCTTTTTTGTTTTATAGGCTCTGTGTGAGTAGCTGGTCTAGCCAGAAGTGCTAGAATTATGACCAAGGAGGTATGGAAATTTAAAATCAGTGGGTGGAATTTATCAAAACTGGAGCAGACAGAATCTGGAACAGTTGTCCATGACAACCAATTAGATCCTCCCTTTGGTATGCCCAATTATGCTTTGAAAATGAAAGATAGAAGCCGATTGGTTGCCATGGACAACTGCTCCAGATTTTGTCCCAGTTTTGATAATTTCTTCCGGTGGGTAACATATTTATCCTTAAGGCAATGTACACATGGGCTTCAGCTTGTATAAGAGCTGTGTGCACAGCAAGACATTTTTAAAGCTTTCAGCAAGTTTTAAGCAGCTTTGTTGAAGCCTTGCTGAAGGCACAGCAACTGTCCACATATCTCTTCCCTTACCTAAAATGTTCTTTAGCTTTCGTTTAGTAGACAGCAGCATTTTCTGAAAATCCTCCAAAAAGCTCTGGTCACTGCAGCCTCTGAGCAGCGATATTCATATTACATGAATGAATGCTGCTGCCTGCTCTCCTTGAACTGGGAACTAGTCATGCAACTGCCCATCTGCAGTTCAATTTTGCAGCATTTTGAAAGATTTCCAGTTTGGGGATTTTATGCACAGATCATAATGGCAGTGCTGACTGTTACTTTAAACAAGCTGGAAGCAGGCTTCAGTAGACTGCAACAAGTTTCATGTAGTGCTGAAGTTTACCTACAAACTCTTGTTTAAAGTGACAGTCAGCACTCCCATTAATATCTGTGCTTATCCTCCCAAACTGAAGCTGAATGGTGCTTTAAATTCCTCAACAAAGCTGCTAGAAGCTGGTCAAAAACGTTGTAAGTGCCGTGCAAAAGCTTGCTGCATACACTGCTTTTATACAAGCCCATAACAATGAACAAGGCCTAACTGAAACATACAGTAGATCCGCTGAGTATATATTCATTTCATAGGTTTTCCTTTACTACTTCTATTTTTCTTTGGGGATGGGGGGGGGGGGAAAA